CGTAGGGGTAAGGCCTCTTCTTCAATGGCTGATGTCCAAGGAGAACTCCGTCCAACCTTTTGCCTTTCATCCCAGATCCTGAGTTCCCGAATCCAGCTCCTACATCTGGTTCCCATCTGTTGCTGAGTCTGGGGCTTCCCTGGTGCTGCCTGCTCTGCAGCATCAGTGGTGACTGATTTTTTATATATAAAAGATTTTTTTATAAATTTCATTATTTTCCTTATTTCCTTATTAGTAATATTATTATTTTATTCCAGCTCTTTTAGTTTTCCAATCTGTAAGTCTCTCTGCTTTGTTCCCCCTTCTTTCCCATTTGGGGAGGGAGAGAGCATCTGTCATTCATTTAGTCACCGGCTGGCCCTAACGCTTTTTAGAGTTCATGATCACTGTCACTACAGTATTATCATCACTCTTCTAAGCAGCAGGAAGAGTTCTGATCCAGAGACAAGCTCTTCCAGTGAGTAACTTCTTGTAGGAAAACATGTTCATCTTGCAAGAGATGAATTCCTGGAGTTTTAAAGGCCAGCTGCATCATTCTGAGGGAGAAGAGGCAGGGGCAGAGCCCAGTATTGATAGTACCAATCCAGCAATCTGTTCACTGCATTTACCAGATTTTAGCACAGATCTGAAATAGTACTTTTTATATTCCACTCTACACATATATAGCCACACGCTTGCTGAGTTTGGTAGAACAAAAAGGTCTTTGCTTGTCAATGACCATTGGATTCATCAGTGTGAATGCACAGGTAGATTTGACTGAAAAATTTTTTTACTTTTTTTTTTTTTAAATCTCTGACAAGCATCCAAGGAAATCTGCAGAGCTGACTCAATGGATGTCAATACTAGAGGGTATTTTTGAAGCTGGCACTAATTGTAAAAAGAAAAAAAAAGATGCAAAACATGAAAGAGAAAAAAAAAAAACTTGCTGTATTAGAGCCAAGGATATTGAGGCCTGAAGAGATGGAGTATGCCTGTTCTTCGGTGTCACTTGCATTTCAAGATACAACACAGAGGCTATGTCAGGAATTCGTGACTCAATATGAAGCCAAGGAAATTCCTCAGTCCCCAGCCAGTAGTGTCTGGCTGTGCCAGACATGAACAGAAAAAGATACCTTTTTGGATATTTAGTGAGATGACCCAAGCCAGTTGTGGTATCTTCAGCTGCAAGAATCTAGCTCCAGCTCATAAAGCTTGTGAGCTTCAATTAAAAAACTTATTTCCATTAGGAAAGTAAAAGAACAGTGAGCTGCTTACTTGGCTATCCAAGTGAGTTTTGCTCTGAAAGAAGGCAACAGAGAGGAGTGTCAGACTGTAGTATAACCAGCAGTCAGAAAATGCATCTCAAAGCTCTTACAATGGTCTAGGCTCCTGTGTCACACCTAAGGTGTTCACTGATACTATTAGCACAATAAATTAGCATTACTTAAATTCTGCCTATACCCAAATGAGAGTTTTGCTTTATCTTAGGCTCAGGAGTAGGAAGGAGTTTCGAGGGCACATGGGATGCACACTTTGCTTGAGTAGAGGCAATGACATCAACCCTTACATGACATTTCCTGCATATTCTGTACTGAACATTTAATCACTACATTTGCAGTAGCCAAGGAAATATTTTCCTAGAGGCCAAGAGACCAACAGAAAGTTTCAACTTCAGCTGTTTATCATGCTGCTACTTCTCTTCTTCATCCTCTTTTCGGATCACTGGTGCCAAGCAGAAAGTAAAGTCAAGTTCTTTCCCCCACCAACAGGAATAAAGTCAGGTTTCTGGCGATGTGGTAGGGAGGTGGCTGCACAGGGTAAAGCATGCCAAGCAGGATTTTCTAACACTTCCCCCCTTATCTTCACCATAGCTCATAAAGTAACCAGCAGTTACTATGATATCCTTGCACATCACAACTCCCATGGCCCCAGCTTAATGCAAGCAGGTCACATCTCCTGCAAACTATGAAGTGCTAAAGCTGGAGGCAACTCCGGCCAGAGGCAGCGCCATATAACTATAAGCCCTGTTCCTGTAACTACCCAAACTGTAATTCTTATTATTCTGGAAAAGATTGCTCTCTGGTAGCAGGCATCGATTTTGTTCCATTGTGTACCAGTACAAAAATGATGCCAGCTAAGCAGCTAATCTATTTTTATACATTTAGGTCAATTATCCCATGAATTGACATATCTAGAGAACAGGATAAAATTTTTCTTTTCTGTTATTCCAAATTCAGCTCTGTGTCTTTCTATTTTAATTACAGTTATTGTATTGCTTGCTTATATTGTGAGTCAAGAATACGAAATAGGGAGAAGTGGTTATGCGGAACACATGCCAGATCCCAGGATGAAAAAGTGCACAGTGTTTTTTTTGATGGTTTTTTAACTTAGATAATTATCACACTGTTACATCTTCCTGGTCACAGATTATATGTTTCATGTAGTACCAGATATAGCAGACTGATGTAACCTGGCTATCCCCTATGGGACTGAATATTTAAAGAGAGCGCAAGAGCTGGTTCCAACACAAACAGTGTGAAAAGAAAGACTGGGCTGGTGCAATCACTGACAAGTACTGGAACAACTTAGCTCATGCTCAGATTTCAGGAATGCAATTAATTAATCACTACTAAGTACCCTAAAATCAAGTGAGCCATATCCCAGCTAATAGTCCACAATATAACGTTCACAGCACGTAAGTATCAGGCAATGAAGATGCTTATTGCAGTGCCAGAAATAATGTTTCCAGCAAAAAATTATATGGAAGATGAAGTAATTATATGGCATGGCAACAAGAAGAGCTGTACAGTTTACAGCTGAGCTGAAGATTTGTAAGACTATATTTCCAAAAAATACCTTCCAAAGCTGGAGACATATATGAACAATTAAAGATTAAGTGTATTTCTCTGTATCACAGAATTACAGAATGTTAGGAGTTGGAAGGGGCCTCGAAAGATCATCCCTCCAAATATCACTGAGGGATACACTTTGTCTAATATACACACTGTATATAATTACATTGTAATCAAGACAGCAGACAAAAATATACTAATGGAAAACGATGTCCTTTGGTTCTTATTCAGGAGAAAGCAGACTGTGAAACACTATTTGTAATACATGAAACAATCACAAAAGCCCTTCAAGATCACTGTTTTACAAGCTGCCTGTTCTCGTAGCTTTATAAAATGGAGAAATCAAAATCAGACTCACACGTAAGAGTGTATTTGGAAAAGCACCTTGAGTAAAGGAGTCCAAAGGCAAAGCCCACAGTGACTTCAGTGGAGGGCAAGAACTGGCCACTGTGGCACGAAATGAAAGATTGCATCAGCATTCTCCTCGCACACAGCAGTTTGCTCATATTTACACCACACTACAGGCTTCAAGTGTCTTTGAAAATCCATTTAAATTAACAACTCCATAGTTATCACTTGTGCAGACAGTAATGAACCTCAAGCGAACCTTGGGGCATATTCAAAACTGCTTAATTTTTGGAGCACCTTTGTAACTCTAAAGTAGATATTATAATGGCTATTGACTTGCTCAAACTTAGATTATTAGGCTAGATTTTCAGCTGGTTGAATGGGCACAGTTCCAATGACGTCCATTTACACCAAACAGCTCATCATTAATTCAAGGTCTTATTTGCTCCTTAATGAATACTTCCACTAGTCACCTTCCCAACGGCAGCTTTAAATGCTCAGACGTTACCTCCATGGTCAGAATCATCATACTCAAGAACTTAGTTATCAAAATAAAAATGCTTTTTCTCTCTTTCTATGAGGCATACTTAAGGTAAACTTTTTTAATCATTTACAAAACCAACTAAAACACCTCCTGTGACATAATTAACTAACTAGAATTATGCTTTCATACAGCATCATTTGCATATAAATATAAAATTTAACCACCCTAAGGGGACATTAAGGACAAAACAAAACACGAATGGAATTAAACAGCTAAACGGACAACACAGCCCTCCATAACAAGCATCTTTTATAGCTTTGTCTTTTTTCTTACTTACTGTTATTTCTGTCTGCACCCATCCATATATATATTGCATACATATATCCTGTTATTTTAAGATACTACATATATTTTAACATCTTTGTTTGGTCTTTTGAATTTTACTACGCTATCTCTGCACTTCTAAAACAAAGCAGGATACAAACATATCACTAAGTTTGTGCATCTTCATTTAACACATCACAGCTGTCAGAAACAATCAATTGAAAATACGTCAGTCTGTTCCTTCAACCACGCAACACTCACAATTTTTCAAAAGGATCTCAAAAACTCAAATTCTACAATTTTGCAACCAGATCTCACTTATTACTTCAGTGGAGCAGTTAACTGTCAAATACACAAAAGAGAACAATCACAATTTTTGATTACTGTTATCAGTATTAAGTAATTTAGTTTAAATACTTTAAAAAATATTTAGGAACTTGGTGAAGGTGAATTATCTCAATGAGAGTCTGAGGAACCTTAATGGTAGGCTCAGTAATTCTGCTGTGACACATGGGAGGTAAAAACCTTTTTCTACATAGCTGTTCCATGAGAAAACATCCTTCAAAGGGGCTACAACAAAACTCATGAGCCCAGTGAAACCAACAGGTATCCCCCAAGACTGGCAATCTGAGGTGTAGCCAAGTAACAACTGCATAACTCCAAATGAAAATACTCTATTAAAAATATTTTCTAGCATCTTTATTTCCTTTTATTCTGAGTACCTCTTCACATAAAATTTCAAATAACTACCTTGACTCAAATGTTTGTAATTTGGTTGTGTCAAAAAGCCACAATTAAGACACGGACATGAATATTATAAGAGCTACACAGAGTAAGAAATAGTTTTCACCATGGAAAGCTTATAATAATCCTGAGGAACAAAGTTTTGCCATTAGGTAAAACAAATTTTTCCTTAAGAGTTGAGCAGGTCACTTAAGATGCTTTTAATACCACCATGAAGTTCCTCATCAAATGTACCTTGGTGTGTCTTGCTAAAGGAAGTTACTACATACCTGGAATAAATTCCACTGACCATGTTGTGCTGAAAAGAGAGTTCTGCCGTGCTGGGTCCAGCAGCTTTGGAAATCAGCAATACGACCAAACCTCGCATCTGTAAATTATTTCGGCTATCATACACAAAACCACTGCAAAAAAGGAAACAAAAAAAAAAAGAGCATGTTTTCACAATCTATGTTCACTGGTCATACCAAAGTGAAAACAAAGACTCATCTCAGGCTGCCATCATTTCATCAAGTCTTTAATATTCACAATTGCATGGAAATAAACTGCAATTATTAATCATAATCTTCCGTCATCCGTTACCTGACACAATGACATAGTGGTATTGCAGAGAAACGCAAGTATTCGGGATTAAATCTTGTTTATTTCCAATGAGCAGCATATGTTCTGCATTTCATGCCAATGCATGAAAGGAGTATTTCACAATAATTCAATGTGATCTACTGTAACAGGAATGTAAGACCTTTCAGTTTGTTGTGTGAAGTACACAAAAGCCTCATACTTCAAGAGAAGAAAGGGAAGGAAGGAAAGGTACAGCCAGAATCTATAACCTGCGGAAAGAAAAGGGAACAGAGAGGTTTCAAGGAGACCGCGCAACACACACAACGCGTCTGTGTATTAGGAATAGGCTTTGAAGAAACCAACAAAAGACAAAAGTTAGAGACAAATGAAGTAGAGGTGGGCTGGTTTAAACAAAAGACCTATTTCAAATTTGGAGTCAGAAGTAAACTGCCCTCAAAAACGTATCTGTTGAAAGTAATTCTAAATTACCACTCTGCCACACCATTTCAAAAATTAACTTGTTTCAAAGCAAGCTTAGCTTTCCTTTTTGACTGCTATGTCCCCAGTTGTATTCTTCCTGCCCTTGTAAAGCCACTTTCTACTTCTTGTGTTCATCATTAAGGCTAAATAGGTAGAAAAAAAAGGATAATACATTCCAGATGTTATTAAGTTTGGAAAGTAATTTCCAGTAAATAAGAGCATATCTCTCTGATATCATCTAAATATTTGTTAAATAAATCATATGAAGAAGTACATCACAGATTACTAAGTACTTTGACTCATTTTATTCCAGAGTATAATTTTATCCCTAATCACTGAAAGAAATCAAAACAGAACAGTCTTTAAAACATCTGAATGAAAATATAAGATGTTGATCTTGGAAGTACATTTGAATAAAGAAAACAGTGATACAACCTCAAGTTTCATTTGGATTTATTTTCATTACATTTACACCATTTCACAGCACAAAAATATCTTCAGTATACTGGTTCATTTACAGAGACACATAAACATTTTTTTTTTAAAAAAAAAACAACATAATTCAAACAGCACCCTTCTGTGTGAAAGTTCCTGTGCTACTGAAAAAAAAAAAATAAAAATCTTGACTTCTTCAGTCTTTACAATCTTTCCTACAGCAATGGGGAAAAAGCCCAAATAAAAAAGGCTCTAGGATAAGAAGGAGAAGGTTTGCCCAGGTATCTGGTACTAGACAGCTCCTGGGCTTGACCTTCACACCCCTGCCTTAGTCCCGGGCTATAATACCTGCCCCTCCGGAGAAGCCCTGGGCTCACACTGTGCAGCTACAGCCTACAAATGCCACTAATGACTAATGTCAGAGGTGGCCAGTAGGGCTTTCTAACACAGCTCACAATGTTTTTATCTCTGCTGGGGTGTAATGAGCCAAACAAGGCCACGGCTTTTTCTTCTGTGCTTGTCTAATACCTCCATGTCCCACTGCTTCACCTACAGACAGGTGCACCCTCAGCAACACAGGCAGCCGTGGAGTTAGAGAAGGTATCAACTTCTGCTGAATTTCCAAAAGAGAGAGCAAGTGCCTACAGTTTCACACAGAAACGGAGCTTGGTTTAGAATCATAGAATTGTCAGGGTTGGAAAGGACCTTATAGATCATCTAGGTCCAACCCCCCTTCCATGGGCAGGGACATCCCCCACTAGATCAGGCTGCTCAGAGCCCCATCCAGCCTGGTCTTAAAAACTTCCAGGGATGGGGCTTCCACCACCTCCCTGGGCAACCTGTGCCAGTGTCTCACCACCCTCATGGGGAAGAACTTCTTCCTAATGTCCATTCTGAACTTATCCAGCTCTAGTTTTAATCCACTCCCTCTAGCTTTACCACTACCTGATATCCTATAAATAAGCTGAAGTTTTAAGAACCAACCTGATACCAAACGTTTACAGCCAAAGCTGAAATTTAGCCAAAAGCACTAGCCACCAATCTTAATCTGCAATAATGCAATAAAATGTTAATCTCTCTTAACAGAGCAGTAAAATGCAAAGAGCAATTAACACGCTACCTTACTAGCTATCTTACAATAAACCAATTAAAATGTTTCTGAAAATTAGAACACAGATAATCAGTATTTGAGCAGAAGACATTCAGCACAGATTTTAACACATGAGATTCAAACATAACTTCCTGAGGAGAAACCATCTCAAAGCGCCACCAGCTCCAACTTCTTCCATCATCTAAGAGCCTTTAAGAAAAATAAACAACGAAAATCAAAACAACAAAAAAACCTCAAATAACACAGCCCTGCCTGGCTAAAACAGTATTTTAAAAAAAAAAAAAAACACAAAAAAAAAAACAACAAAAGGAAGATACTACATAGCTTCCCAGAGCAGAAATGATTCCTGTCTTAGACCAGTCCCCTTGTACATCCCAACCACTCAAACTCAGCTTGCACAGCTTAGAATTCCTCCCAAGAGCATACGCTGTGGTCCTGCCATATGCACTTTTATTTTGTTTACCAGGTGCATGTAAGTGAGGGATTTTAAGGAGTAGGGGACAGCCGCTCGCCTTCAGCAGTCTCTAAATTTATAACATGCATACCTTTATTCTTACCAGGCACACAAATAAATAATTTTCTTACCATGTTCCAATATACAGTTTACAGAATGCAGCCAAGAAAGTCAAACACTCAAAACTCTATAGGTTTCCAAAGTCAGAGACACAGTGAACATTAAACTAGCCAGGGAAAAAAAATAAATACATATAATGAATAATATATAGTGTGTCTATATCCTGTACACAGAATTCATAATTGTTTGTGGTAGCGTAAGTATTTCTCTGGCTTGAACTTCAGTTGACCACATTACTCACAACCACATAAGTTACACAGATGATGCAACTAAATACAAATATATTTCCTCAACACTATTTACAACTCCATCATTTTTAAAGAAAAGTGGTTTTAGGGAAAATTGCCGTTTTCCACATATGTGTGCTCAGAAAATCAGAATGCCTTATTAAATGCAGGATCCCATGAGAAACAAATAACATTTTTTAAAAAAAAGAACCCCTTCCCAAAATACAGCAAATTATGGTGATATGATCAGAACACTTTGGTTTTTCATACCCAGCAGTCTACAGCTTGCCAAAGGACATTACAGAAGTAGAGAAGAAAGGTGTTCACCACAGGATTACAAAGCACTTTAAATAAGCCACTGTCTAGATAGACATCACTAGAATTGAGGCACTACAGTACTTTTACCTAATCCAGACTGGGCGAGGAACAGATGAAGAAAATTACTTGTGCTGAAAACACTTGAACAGTTTCATAGCAATAACAAGTGTTTAGAGCTGTTCGGGGGGCTTGCAACACCGCTAGCCACGAACATCTTGCATTCTTAGCAGGAAACTATTAATGAGAAGTTCAGCTGTGGGTGAGGGGGAAGAACATTAAAAAAAAAAAAATCAAATAGCGCAATAATTAGGAGCAGCATTTCTGTCATTTCTACACCCAATCATATGGCCGATATGTTGCATCTGGTTTGGATGTAATTTTAGACAGCATTTTCTATGAACTACCAAACCAGTAGTCCAAGTCTAATTCCACTCAAAACATGACTGAGGCTGTGTTACTGACATGTAACAGGCCCACACTACAGCAAACGGCATTAGACTTGAAACAAATAAAGCCCACGGTGATCATCCTTCAGACACTAGAGACTACTGCAGCTCCTTGACATGGCTTCAGGGGTCACATTCACATTCTGAATTCAGCTCCCGAGAGATATTCTTGCAAAAGTAACAGCTACACAAAAGTCTTGCAGATGGTGCAATTAGTCTTGATGGGTGTGTGGCAGGAGACACGTGCCTCTAGGGGGAAAAAAGTGAACTAAAAGCAGCTCAAGTGAAATTGTGCACACACACACACACAAAAAAAAAAGACGTATCAAGCTGAGACTCTTTTAGAAAACCTCTGCTGAACACCACACGTACATCCACAGGGTACCCAAAAAAGAAACATCAGCCAGATTTCGTTTGCTCTGTGTTACAGCCTGGGTATCCTGCAAGTTTCATACTTCATCTGCAGGGAACTGTGCAGCAAAGCAAGGTAAGTCAAACACTTCTACAACTCAGTTTTGCCAAACATTAAGAATTTTGAGGAGGAAAAAAAAACGAGGGGGGGAACAAAAAAAAAAATCAAAAAAACATTTATTCTAGCTATTCTCCATGTGACAGAAAAACCCATGTGAAAACCAGCAGATTCAGTTTTAAACACAGAACACACCGAAAAAAAATCATCTTGCAGCGCAGGGGAGAAGCCCCGAGCTCCAACACATGCGCAGTGTGACACCGTACAGGCACAAGAGACTCACACCACCCACTCAAGCAATGACACTGGCTAGTAGCTAATGTGCTGCAAATTACACCTCCTACTACCAGTCTTCTGCAGAGGATAAATCAAGCAAACATGAACATTTCACTTAATGCTTTGTGTATTTTCTCCACATGTGCAGCCATTTCGGTAGACTTGCAGTGAAAATATTCACCTCCAGTAACTGTCAGGTGTAACTCCATAAGTAATCTATACTTGCATTTAAAAAAAAGACTATTTATTGTAAGCAATTTTTTGACCAATCTTGTTCAAATACTACAAAGATTTTAGGTTATTTGTGACAAAATCAGCTAATTTCTTCCCACATTTTGTCATTGAATTAAACTCTTGAAATTAAACAACAGAGAGGAAATACAGCAAATACAACAGTTACTGTAAGCAAGACATGGACACGGGAAATTTCATGGCACCAAATCAGAGGTTTTTTTTAAAAAAAAAAAAAGCACAGGCAACTGTGAAATCAACTGACTCTGCAAGTGGGTGTAGGAGAAGAGTATACTTATGAGTAGCCATGCTAGTTCAAATTTAACCCCTAAGAATATGGAAAAAAATTCCAATTAAAACAGACACGATGGGGAATTTTGGAAGGCCCAGAAAGGAGCAGGTAAATGCTCTGCCAAATGTTTTTTAGCATTTCCAAAACGTTCCGCTCATGACCGAAGCAAACAAGCTGGAGAGTTTCCAGCCCTTCCACCAGTTACCCCAGTGGGAGCCTCCACCAGCACCCAACACACCGGGTGTTCGCTCTGGCCGCCCAACTGCTGCCAGGGGCCCAGGTGAACCCATCACTCTCCTCCTCTCATCTCCACTGGCGATTTTACTGTTCCTTTCCACACATTCTACGGAAGGTGTCCCACTGATAAGATCAATCATTTTGTTTCAGGTCGTACACGAGCTCTGTTTAGCTACAAGGGGAAGGAAAACAGAAGGAGGCACAGGGTGGTAATCGGCCATTCCTATACCTTCCCACTTTGGGTATCAAACGACAGGAGGGGAAAAAAAACCAACGAAAAACAAAAAACCAACACACCTGTTCACAGAGCTCTAATAAAAAGCAGCTGGGAAAGTCTGTAACACAACCAGAATCAATTATGTTGCTGAAAAAGATTTATAAGCCCAGGATATAGTCATTGAAACCACAGGCTAGTTTTAGGCTGAAACATAAACCATTCCAAGAGAGAAACCCTTCTATTCAAACTGGCAGTCCCAGATGTGACGACATAAACACAGTTTAAACCTGTAGCATCTCAGGAAAGTAACAACTATTTCCCTTAATATAAAAGAGTTATCAGGATGCACTCATGGATACAGGTGCAGGTACATTTGAAAAAAAAAGCACTACACTTTCAAAATTCATTATAACTGATAATTCTGTATCTGGTGCTAGAGGTAAGGCATGTGGCTATTCAGCAAGACTGCCAGCTTCATTATTAGAAATGCAAAAGTTTTACCAGCCTCAGGGCTTTTATCCAATTTTCTTTACTAATGACTTGTCAGAAGTAAATAAGAGAAAACTCCAACATATTCATTTTCTTAAAATGGTTGTTAAACTGCTGTATCTGAATCATAGGATTCGCCATGTGACCATATGATCACACTCAAGCATGCATACATTTAAATACTCAGAGCATTCATTTTTATATATTTCGTGCATGCCAGCAGCACTCTACAGTGACTTATTTTCACCTGCTACTCAAGTTTCAAGTACATATTAAATATCCTTCTGCACAACATATCTTCAAAACACATTAAAAACCCTGGTCTACTTCAATGTCCACAGCCAGATCTGCAGAGGGGGATCATCGTTGTCATGACACTTGTTTTGAGCATGGTTCAGCTCAGGGGAGAACACAAACTGACTTCAAATGGAGAGAACAGAAACTGAAAATGAGATTCAAATTAAATATCCAGCTGACAGAAAGCAACAGAAGGAGGGATGCTCTGAAACCCATGAACCACCCTGACCTAAAAACCCTCCAAAGGCTGCAAATGAGAATATGCAAGTTTCAGAAAATTATTCCTGGGCTTGGACAACTACACATCTCTTTGCATATGTAAAGTGTTGGGGTTAGGGGAATTTCTTTACCTGAAAAATAGGGTTATGACCAGAGTGGCACTCATTACCATTATATAACTGCCTAGTACTTAAACAGGTTTATCCAGTAAGAGTAAACCTATGTAATGGGTCAGGCCAGGCTTGAGGGAATTGACATTCCCATCCCACTTTTTTGGGAAGGCAGGTTACAAGGGAGGTATTTCTAACATAGCTCCTGCTCTCCCGTCCTCAGAGCAAATGATGGGTCTCAACTCATTAGCTCTGCGAAGCTCATCACAGAGAAACACAAGATTTCACGGACAAAAACAAAAAAAACACTCTGGTGTGTTCAAGAGGTGGCTTTAGGTTGCATGGTCAATGAAAATCTAAAAACAGCCTACTATGGACATGGAAAAACCCCGGCTATAAAAATAAAGGGTGGCTAGAATCAGATATTTATCTCAGAAGTACTGATTACTCAGAAAAAGATGTTTTTCTTTCTATCATTTTGTAAAAAAATAAATCTACCCTCTACCCATCAGATTCTATGACTGGTAGAGGCAGGGCAAAAAAGACCGCCTTAAAGATGACAGTAAAGACACCACACAGAAACACAGAAAACAAACCACTAAAATGTATTTTTAAACCAACTGCCAGACTCTGCTGTTTTTCCTGGTCAATGTTTGACTTGATCTTGGAATGTGATGTAGGTAGCAGGCAAGCTAATACCAAAAAACGCAGTTAGTGTCTGAGTGCAATTACTCTGACCAGCAGTAGCTTGCAGGTCTGGCACCCTTATTTTTCTAACCACAAATACTTAGACAGAAGCCTAATTTTTGTGTGTCTGATTTCTCCATCAATATTTACTTTATTTAAACTTCATGGGAGGTCTAGCACCCCACTGTCAACCAATATTAACACGCCTCCTGAAGCCCAAGACTATCTTTTTTGAAAGCAGGCTCTCTCAGGCACAGAATATTCTGCCAAGAGAAACCAAGACAAATATTTTGGAAGAGTTCTGTGAACGACAGAAATATGATTTGCTTCACAAGGCTAACAAATTCAGGCACCTTTGGAGGTCCGGCATCACTTCAGCGATATTGTAATAGTGAAGCCTGTCATAAAAAAAAAAAAAAGCGTCTTTTGCATTAAATAAACTCTACTAGGGAAATACAACAATGAAATAGGTCAAGTCCTGGCCATTACTGCACGCTGAAAATGCTCACAGTATGTTGTACACGTGGATGAAACATAAAAGGGCAAAAATGTTAGGCAATGTACTGTCAGTACAGAGTGATCTAAAAATTCTTTTAACCTTCTATCTCAACAATATTTCTACACAACAACTTAACTGATCTTCAGTGTTACTCAGATTAGTTCACTACAAATATTTATTCTTTAAAAACACTGAAGGCTCTTTACTAGTAGTGAAAAAGAGGTTCCAAATTCTGTGCTTCAATGCATTGGTCTCACTTAGAGTAGTAGCTTAAGCCAAATGCACATCAACAGTACAGTAAATACAAATCTTAATTTTAAATAGAAATTGTTTTAAGTGGTTGAAAAACCACCCAGCACCATTAGTTCAAACACAGCACCTCTACATTTGTCACCACCTACTACAGTTATGTGGTTATACACAGCAGATACCTTTTGTAAACTTGCAGGGAAAAAAAAAAAACAACACAAACACACCCTAAAATACAGCAGAGAATTAGGACAGAATGCAAGGCAGCAATATGTACATACAGAAGAAATACAAATGCTCCCAGACACTATGTCAAATGTATATAGTTCTAAATACTATACTCTCATGGCTTTGTAATAGTTTATTCCAAGTGAAAAAAAAATTAAAAATCAATTGTAAGCCAACAGTGGAGAACACAGACAAACCTATATCATAACTCTAACCAGTATTACCTTCATTTGATGTTTTTCTCGAGATTACTTACTCTAGAGAGTCTCTTTTTCTGTGAGACTCAGCTGGCTGACTGACAATTAAGATGAATCTGGGTTTTTATTCAGGTAAGAAGTATTTTCAATGTGTGCTCCACCCAAATTCCACAGTTTTCCCACTGCTGTGTCAGTATCATAATCATGCTTCTTTGGCTGAACAAGAATACCTCCTTTTACAAAGACGAACGTAACACCCAACAAGTATCAGTCCACTCTTCCTGGATCACTGCTAAGCATCAAATACGCTCATTAAGTTACCAGTGATGTGCTTTAAATTTATCAAGTCCCGAAAGAAGATGTAGTGAAAAAATACTGGAGGTATTTTACAGCGAAGCAACTGTTAGACAGGAAGCAAAAAAATCAACGGAAAACTTAAGAGTTTTTCTATTCTTCTTTCCTCAGAAGAAACAAGACTTTAGAAGGCTTAAGATTTTAAGCAAACACTTGTGGTTTTGGAAATGCTGGTTTCCATGGCAACTAGTAAGGTCTTCTTTATATAGCATTATAAACAGATGGTAAAGACCGGTCATGTTTGCCTCTTTGCCAACATATCAATTCAACTGCTGTACTACTCTATCTTGTGTATTACAGTTATTAAGTTTAACTTGGGTATTTGAGCAACAAAAATCTATAAATCAGACTTGCTTAACTAGTACATTTTTCTCTTCCATAAACACATGAAGATTCTCAACAGTGAAGTCACTGTAGTCTATATAGTCAGATTTCTTTGGCAAAGCTTTTCATAAATGTTTTCTCAGCACTTGCCATGAAGGGTACGTTATTACCACAAATATCAATCTGACAGGGATTAAAGTAATGAATTCAAACACGAAATAGAAATGTGACTATATTTACATGCACTAGTATTAAAGTGTACTTTAGAATTACATTTTTGTTGTATTATATTTGCAGTTATTCAGAGAAGATGTAGCAAACTGTAAACTCACCTTCATTATGTCATAAGAAGCAGAGGTTATTCTTGCAGGTGATTTGTAAAGTAATAATAGAAAAAACCTCTTTGCATTTTAATCTTGGAGTTGTAGCTATGGCACATCCTGTACAAGAGTTCTTGTTTCATAGATAGCTGGAAATATCAAGACAATCTGAATCGGTACAGCATTTGATCTGGTAACTCTCTGGAAAAGTCTGAAGCACTAACTACTACTCGTGCAAACTAACAGATTTTTGCCATTGCACCCAGTGTATTCCTCCAGTGTTTTAGTTGTTTGTTTCATGCCATAAATCAGAAAAAAAAAAAAAAAAAAAAAAAAAGAGGAAAGGCAGAAGCAGAACTCCCATCAGATCACTGACTATATGTCAAGAGCCCAAATTACATTATTTTAGGTCAAAATATCACCTGTATTCTAACCAGATTACAAATTACTTCATCAAGCTATTAAAAAAATCAATAATTCTGATCTGAAATCCATGCCATTTCAATCAGTGCCTGCACATAAAGCTCTCACAAAATAGTTCACCAAAAAAAAATAGAAAATTGGGGGGCCGGTTACAGTGGTTTGAGCGCGGTGATGGCAACAATGACCAACACCGAGGTTGCAGGTTCAATTCCCGCTCGGTTCCCATGTGTTGCCTGGTCTACTCGAGAGGTGGCGTCCCTGCCCATAACAGGGAGGTTGGCCTAGACGATCTCTAAGGTCCCTTCCAGCCTATGTCATTCTATGATTCTATGTCTCTGTGTTCTGAAATGAAAATTTGTGAAGTCTGGTGTTCTTTTCACTCAGCAGTAGCATCTCAAGGACAATGTAATACCAAAAAAAGTTGTCTTTTCTTTCAAACAAGAAAATTTCAACGAGACCAAGTGCAGGGTCCTACACTTTGGCCACAATAACCCCCTGCAGCGCTACCAACTGGGGGGGGAGCGGCT